GTCTGTTTGTGTGTGTGTGTGTGTGTGTGTGTGTTGTGTGAATGCGTGTCCCAGCTGGTGTGTAGACAATAAGTGAAGAGCTGTGCTGCCTCACCACAATACAGACGTTCACATGCTGCCCAGTCATAAGAATACATTCACACAGTTAGTCCATCTCTCTTTCTTTTTCCTCTCTTTCTTTCTCTTCTTTCTCTCTCCCTCTCTTTCTCTCCTTTCCATTCTTTCCCCCTCTCTTTCTGTTTCCTTTGCTCTTTCCTTTCTCTGTCTCTCTCCTTCTCTTTTTACTTTTACTCTTCTTTCTCCCTCTCTCTCTCTCTCTCTTTCTCTCTCACTGTGTTCTCTCTATCCTTTCTCTTACTTTTTCTCTTTTCTCTCTCTCTCTGCTTTCTTACAACCTACCTCTGCAGACATGTCCCTCACTTTCATTCTCTGTATGTCTTTCTCTCTTCCTCTTTCTCATAAACAGTAGCTCATTCACATTAAGCTTTCTCACACGCTTAGTGCCTCACTGTGAATCCAAATTCACTCTACGGTCACCACGTGATTCAGTGTCTCAGCTTCTGCTAAAAGATATCAAAGATAAATGCTCCCCCTCTCTATCTCTCTGTCTCTTTAACCTTTTCATGGCAAAGACAGCTGTTGGCCTTCCTTCTCTTTTCTAACCCGCGTTGACTGTGCAGTGCCTTTTGACCTTTTGATCTTCAGTGGGTGCCCTCAAGTTCACCTTGACATTTCAGGCCCAGTTGCTCCACAGCTAAAAGTGAGATTTAGGCCCTGATACTGTGATAATGTCTACACTTGGTGTATGATATGTGTGATATGCGGTAAGAACTCTAAATGCCAGTTTGGTTTAGATTATTTATAAAAATTAGATTAGTTATTCTCAGTAAACATGATATGATCTTTTGCTCTACAGGCTGTGTAAACAGCACGGGATTACAGAAGTTAATTAAATTTGTGAACTAATTTCAGTTTGTGATTTGGAGCATGCTTAGCAGAAATGCACAGGTAAATATGAAGTGTGTTTGGATTTCAGCTCATTTTCTGGATTTGCTGTATGGAAAATGGAATTTACCCTCACACCCTCATAAGCAGGCCAGTATGGCTGATTCGTGTTCTAATTTTGGCGTAGTAATGTTCTGGGCTGTAGTTTTTCCCCATATGGTGTTTTGATATTTGCCTTGGTCCCTGTAGAGTGTTCAATAAGTAATGCGCATGCAGTGCGAGGGAAGTTATGTTGTTTGGGCTGGAGAAATATGGTGCCCTTTTCATCCTTGGACGTGTCAAAACACTTTTTCTTCCCTCTGTTTCTCTCCCGCTCTCCTCGTTCTCTGTTTCTCAGCCGATGGTTAACTTGCTCTTTGTGTTTTATGGCACCACTGTCCATAACATTTCAGACTGAGGAATGAAGAAAATGTTCACTGTTTCTGAAGACGGTAATGCCAGAATTGCTACCTTTCGTGCTTTAGTGATCATACTGTGTAGGGTGTTTTTAAAGTTGGACCAGCTGTGTCTCCAGGGGGTGTCTGACCTATAGTTCAAAAGATCAAAGGTCAAGAGCCCTAACCAGTATTCCACTTCACTGCAATCAGCAAATTAATAAATCTGCCTCAGCTGTCTGTGATACACTGATATATTACTGTTACTATGTGTGTATAATTAGAAGTTTTGTATGTGTGTAGTAAGAACTGTTGTACATGTGTGTGTGTGTGTGTGTGTGTGTGTGTGTGTTGCATGTGATGTGTAGGGACCTGAAATTATGCTAATTAAGATAGGGATATTAACTGTGTAAGCTATGTAAATATATTGCAAAATATATTCCAGTATGTTTTTACTCCAAATTATAAGTGGAATGCACTGCAATTTATTTTAAAAATACTGATTTCTTTCCATGTTATGGCATTTAACAGTAGGGGTATGAAATATGGCAGAAAATATCACAATGCTTTCACAGTACATATTGTAATACGCATATTGGGTATGTTAGAAATGTTTTTATGGGTATATTGGTTATATCTTTGTACAGGTATATATATATATATCTTTGTATGGATATAGTAAGTTATATCTTTGTATTGGTATATTGAGTATATCTTTTTTCCGTACCTTTCTGTGTTCTCTGGATTTAACATTGTAACACAGGCTCTTTCAATATTAGACTTCTAACGTTGGTGGCTCGCTCTGTGGTTTAGCTTGAAACACTTGGATAAGAACAAAAGAAGAAAGGGAGGAATGAGTAGGGACAGAGTGGGAGGGCAGGAGGGAGGAGACAGACAAGAGAGAGTGAGAGAGAGAGGGACAGAAAGGGTGAAAGTCGAGGCCTAATGTATGTCAAGGTGCATTATGACTTGTGTAATAACTTGTGTAAATCTCTCACACACAATCAGGTGATTTTGACTGCCCTTGAAGGACATTTTGCCCGTGTACTTAGAGTCCTTCAAGGACGGATATGCTGTGTATGTGTGTAATACTGACTAATACTCACTGGCCTTGTGTAGAAGACTAAATCCTGAGTCTACTCTCTATTCTCATACCTACGAAAACCACACAACCAAATCTGACAGACGTATGCGTGTGTGTGTGTGTGTGTGTGTGTGTGTGCGTGTGCGTGTGCGCATGTGGAACAGGGCTCTATTAGTGTACCCCACTGCTGACTCATGGTGTCCCACAAAGTGGAGGCTGAGTGTTAAGTACTTGGTGTACCAGTGACACATCCCCTCAGCACAAGTCAATACTCAGTGTCCTGCTATCAGTGCTTAAGTTCATCACATTATATTTAGTTGATTCTTTTTATTCTTTCTAAAGGGCTAGAGTCTTCATTTTTATACACACATGAGCTGTGTGTGTGTGTGTGTGTGTGTGTGTGTGTCCATTGGGAATTGGTATTTTTAGCTGGTGTTTGGGAGTGTGAGAACATGTCTCAGAAAAGCATAGCTTGCATTCTGTCTCTCTCCCTCCCTCTCTCTCTCCCTCTCTCTCCCTCTCTCTCTCTCTCTCTATGTACTCATTAGGCCTCTGATTATAATACAGTTCAATCCTCTGGGAGTGTTAGCCTGAAGAATTAACACACACACTGCTGTCAACTGTAGTCACAGATTGTAAAACATTTAAGAATAAACCCACACTCACATTACAGTGAATCAGTATGTGTACTGTATGTGGGACACCAATGCAGATGTGTGTGGGGGTGACCAGAAAGAGAGGGTGTGTGTGAAGGGGTGGGCTAACGTGTGTGGTATTTCCCAGCCACATCAATGATCTTCCGCTTTCCTGCTCACAATAACCCCCCCACGCCTTACACACACCCATACAAACACACATGCTTGTTTTATACAGTGTTAGAACCTGGAATTATATATATGTCCCATATGTATTACACACACACACTTGTATTATATACAAGTACCTTAGTATCTTGGACAGAGACGGAAGGACACCACACACGCACACACTAGGTAAAGGTAAAAGTAGGATGGTTCTAATGTCTCTGGCTGTGCTGAGTGTGCAGTAGGGGCAGTAGGATATTATCTCATGTACAGGTTTATTTGTTCTTGTCCTCTGCTAAAGGGGAAGTGGCGGACTATGAAGTGTTGATACATCTGCTGTTATCCATGTTGGGTGTCATGCTCAGCGCCGCTCACTTCCTCGTGTGTCTTGTGTGTGTGTGTGTGTGTGTGTGTGTGTGTGTGTGTGTGTGGTGTCCTTCCGTCTCTGTCCAAGAAGCCCAGTTCTCGTGTCACACTCCCGTGGTTCAGCCAGTCTGTTATGTCTCGTAGTCACTGATGTAACGGACCTAAATATAACGTTCAGTAACGTGCAGCGTGGGACACTGCTGATCTCACACACACACACCGCAGCGTCTGTTTGTCATTACTGGGGCACGACAGCACTCCAAATGCCAACAAAGCAAAGCAAAGCCTGTCCTGTTTAAAACACATCAGAAATCTCTTCAGACTTTCATCAGACTAACTGCTTGTGGAGAATAACAGCACTATTTAAATAAACTACAGTAATAAAAAACTTTACTTAAACATTCTCTTTTCTGTTCTTTAGCAGTAGTTGTGTTGTATTTGTTGATCATCTGTCACTACCATAATGTGTCATCCTCATTCTTCATTTTATTGGCTGTATTCTTTTCTGTCCACCTTTCACAGATGTTGAGACAAAGAGTGAAAGTGATAAACTCTCATTGTTACTACTTCTACTAAACTAGTAAAACTTTAATATGCTTTGGCAGCGTTGCACTTGACACAGTCACACGAATAAAAGGGTGTAACAATACAACATATTGTAACATTTCACAATGTGGCTAGCGTGTTAGCTTGTGGCTAACATTAGGCCTGTTACAATTATTACATTAACCCTTGAACTCAATTTTTTGAGCTGACTACTACAGGTGCTATCTTTCACAGTCATCTGTTTACATTGGAATAAATAATGTGAATTGAATGAGTTTACATCTGCTGGGCTGAGGCAGATACAAGTAAAAGAAACCAGAAAACATTTATTTACAAACATTGGGGATCTTACAAATAAAAGTTCTAACTTCTGACTGGTGCTATAACAGGTTTACAGGGCAGAGATGAGCAGTGTTTGTTTGAGCTACTAAGTATCAACTGAAAGGAAGTTAAATAGCAAATCAGCCAATTTGTCCACTTTAGGCTTGCACTTCAAAAAAAAGAGAGTTGAACTGTTAATCACAATTATTTTTATGGCAATTAATTGTCAGTTAAAATTTCATGATCATGATGGGCCTAGCTAACATATTAGTTTGTGGCTAGAACAAAAGACCTAGACACTAAAGCACAGCTTTTTTCTGTACTGCTAAAAAAACTGTCTAAACAGAACAGGCTAAATTCCGTTGTGCCATTAAATATTGTACTTTTATATTGTCTGATGCTCTAATAAATTAAAAATGGAAACATTAGCATATTAACATAAGCCCATTCATTACAACACACCTTATTTTGATAGCATTGCAAACTACTGAATGTAGGTTAGGGGTGGGCAGTATGGCGATATTTCATCCATAACATGATGAGTTAGGTCACAATATGCTTTTCTGAGCATATCATGGATATCGTCAGTACTTACAGAACACTGACTAGCTACATGTTTCTTTACAAAGTATGCATAATTAAGCCTGTTTAATTGGATTTAATGCAGTTCATCATCATTGTAGTTGAAGATTTATTACTATTATATTATTATATCGTTATATGTGCACAAAAGGTTCTGTTTTGTCAGTTCCAACTTATTAAATCTTAGAAAAACTGAATATCGTGATGCATATTGCTTATCGCAAAAATGTCTTCATAGTGATGGTGATATAATATTTTTGTCAATATATAGACATCATATTGAACTGAATAAATGAATATTGTGACTACTATATGAGGCTGTCTGAGAGAGAATGAAACAGACATAAAGAGAGAGCATGAAGTTTTCAGTGCTAGTTTATAATGTGACCTAAATCGGCTCTCATATATCGACTGCCCATCGATTGTCCCCTGTTATGCCTTTGTTTTTTTCAGCACCAGTATGGGGCGAGCTATTCAGGGCTGTTTCATTTATCTTGTCTATTAAAGCACATGCAGTATTGTGCCGGTCCAAACACGGCAGACTTTTCGTCCCAGCGTTAAGAGCAGAGATAGAGATAAAGCTCTGGGTACTGGCAGTCCTTCTGCTCGCTGTGATGAGGCGTGATGATCGTGTCCAGCTCAGTTATAAATAGCTGAGGGACGGAACTGCAGTGGGAAGCTCACGAGTCCACCTTAAAACACACACACCCCCACACGCACACGGACAAACGGGAGAAGGGGCGTGCCTTATGGCTCCGGTGAGCGGCAGTAGCTGGGAATTCCGTCTCTGACGTCAAGGAGGGCGGACCCAGGAGTGTGTGTGCGTGTCTGTGTCGTTGTGTTAAGAGCTTAGCGCTGTTTCCCCTTTAAAAACGCAACCCGATCCTCCGGCTCTGTGAGCGAGAAGCTAGAAGCGTAGTCGGTAGCGAGAGAGCAAGCAGACGTCAACATTACAAAGAAAAGTCCACTTTTCCACGCCCTCCGTCACCCGAGCGGAAAAACTACTGAAGGCTAGCCGAGGTGAGAAGCCCCTTCGACGGATTACTACAGCAGGCTACTCGGTGTAGCTCCGGAGCTCTGAGTGAGCGGCTAAACTTGAGGATACGAGCAGGAATGGCTAACGTTAGCGTTGGACCTCCTGTCGTTCTCTCAGGGACGGTGTTGGATGTTTTAGTCGCTACTTTTTTGGTGTCCGTATCTGAGAGAAGAGTTGGCTGCCGCTGCTACAGCTCGGTTTGGTGTAGCTGGTAGTGAGAGAGGGCGCTGGTAACCCAAGCGGCTCGCCTCTCAATGGTTTTATTTCATCATTCATAATTCAGTCATTTCCCAGCCGTCACTTGTCCTCGTGAGTCATTCGGCAACTTAGTCGAGAAATTGTGCCTACACTCTTGGAAATGTGAAATCACTTCTTTTTTGCGTGGAGACTAAAGAGCTCTTCGTTGTTCTTCAACAGATCGAGTCGAGGAGCTTTGTGGGGCCGAAGAAGGACGAGCTTTACTTGTATGAGGACGAGTGTAACAGCAGAGGTGAGTCTTTTCTTCTCTTCTCTTGAAACTGGACTTCATTGCTGAAAGACTGTTTAGTGGCTACTTTCCAGCTTCCCTAGCAAGTTATGTGTGTGCGTTGTAGGCTGGTGGTTGAATGAATGTGTTGTAGGCAGCAGTTGAACGGTCGCCGTACGAGAGCCGGAAGATCAGCTCATGCGATTAACCCTTCAGCGTCCGAATGATGAAAACCACCCCTGGTAACTGGTAACAGCACCATTTGTGCGCTTTCTGGGTTATAGTGATACGAGTAAAACGAACGCCTGACAGTACAGTATTTTAACTTTGAGGATAGGGTTAAATGTGTTGAATAGTAAGACTGGGGCAGGCTGGCCCGTCCCACGTGCCTTAGGGAGGGTGCAGGGGGGTTGATAGAGGGCTGTAAGGGGGGCAGGGCCGGACACAGAGAGAGCGATTGTGTAAAGCGATCCTGTGCCTTTGTGTTTAGTAGTAGGCAGGGCTAAGAGCGGGGGTGGGTTGGACGCAGGCGCATGGAGTGAATGGGTCGCCAAGCCAGCCTTTTACGCACACAAAAGCGCAAGGATGTCTGAAAGGACAACATTTGCATCATCCTACTCTGCTGCCTCCCGGCCAGGAACAGGGGGTTTTTCACCCTAGTGTGAGCGTGTGTATGTGTAGGCTACTTTTTCTCAGAAGCTTCCAGTATGTAGAATCAGGGACCATACCGGGGAAATCACTGCAGGTCCACGAAGAAATATGAGGATCCGTAAACACTCCAGACTTTTACGCGTTGATGAGTCCACACCTCAGGCTGGGTCGCCCTTTTTCATGTGGGTTTGGTTCTTTTTATAGGTCGCCATAAACACTGCAGTGGAAGCTAATACTGGGGCATTTTCAGCGGGGGGTAGGTACCCCCCCCTTTCAACAGGGACTTCCGATCAATCAAAGCGATTAGCCTTAAGACGAAGGGCTGTGTTTGCTTCGCTTTGAAGTGGTGACGAGTGCAGGGCTGTAAAGTTGGGAGCGTGAGGAGCAGCTGCAGGGAGACACGCAAGATAGTGCTGAGCTGGCGTTTTTTCGCTCCTCCTGATAGTGTTTGAATCTCCCTCCCTGAGTAAAATGCACATGAATGAAGTGCTTATTAACCCACTCATGTCCATCAACTACATTCAGTATGATGATGAAAAAGGCCACAGAACTTGTCCTGATAGGTTTAACGTGATGGAATTGTGTATATCATACCCTGGGTGAATGTCTTAATAGTACCCATTTGATCTTTTTTGATTACGTCATTTTATTGCTTTTATTCACAGTCAGATTTGGGTTTCCTATTTGAGAGAATAAATAACAGTAGTAAAAATACAGTAGTCCCATATGACCAAAAGACAATTCACCATAATTGAAGTGATAAAAACTCATTTTTTCACCCTGTTGTATGATTGAAAAGCCCAGAAAACATGGACCAAAGGAAATATACAGTTTCAGATATGGATGTTACTGAGTTAAAGAAAGGACCGAAACAAAGGGCCTGTACAGCTTATTGGTAATAATACAGTAATAATGTAAGTAAATAGAGGAGATTTGCATGAGGGTGATGCTGATGATGGATCGCCAGTGGGAGGGTTGTGTGGAGGTGGTGTTTGTGTAAAACATGTGTTGTGGAGGTGTCTGACTGACTGATTGACCAGGTGTAGTGGGAAGGGGGGGTGTAGGATTGATTCTGTCGTGTGCATGTTCGTGTCTTAGAGAGGTGATGAGTAATTTAGGTCAGTGGGCTTGCTGGTTTGCTTATTCATTTCACAATAATACCTCTGATTTTTTTTCATTGAAAGGGAGGATGAAAGTGTTATTCAGCTGCTTTGAACTGTGTGTGAGAAAGAGTATAAGAGTGTGAGAGAGAGTTGAGCTGGTGTGATAAATGTTATTGAGCTCATGAATGCCGTCATGAGCCTTAGTCAAGATGGATTAGTATTACATAGGGATAGCCTGTAATTTGAGTGATTGCCAATGAGATACATAAATTGAATCCAGTACAAATCTGCAGTTTTTTTTATAATACCTGTTGGAAACAACCTCAAGGTATTGTAATAATAAATCCCATAGACAACAGCACTTATTTGGTGACTGGGAAGTAAAGATAACTGCCAACATGGAGCTCAACAGTTTATTTATCCTCAAGTTCGAAACAGGACTACTGTAATCTAGAACACCTTTTGGTGGTGGCCTGATAAGAAGAAAAATGAATATCTTGAAAGTACCTTTCACAAGGTAATGAGATTTCTGTCTTGGGTGCCATTTGGTAAGCCTCCTTTATTAGCCTAATGCTAGTCTAACTGACATGATAAATCTTGTTTATTTATTGGACTTTTAATCTTACCACTGATGTGAATGTTCAGACTATGAAGTTTCGATCCAGGCTATCTGGGGTAATTTGGGGAAACTACACAGATACTTGATCCCGCATGAATCAGCCAGTTAAATCCCTTACGAATTACATTACAGGACCTCCTGTGGTAAAACTAATCCAGCTTGATTAGGGCTATGATGATCAGGTCAGTCTCAGTTGTTTGTACTGCCTCGGGTCAGAAGTTGGAGACTGAGGTGAGAGGAATGAAACACAGTCATGTGGAATTCTTCTAGAATGTGTTGAGTTTGTGGAATGTGTGTTAGGATTGCCCTTCTAATAATTAAAAAAAAAGATATTTTTACCATTTGTGGTAAAACTTTGGTCTGTTACTGATGTTACTATAGCTAGAGACATAGTCACAAACAAAAAAGTAGACAGGGTGTTATAAGGACACACGTTCTCATGACTCATACACGCCAAAGAGAAACGTTACTTTCAAACTGCCTGATATTTTCCTTTGTCACCTTACCGGCTTGTATTACCTCACATTTGGTAGGAGTCCAGCCAAGTGTGCAAAAAAAAAAAGTGAGGGGAGTGGTAGTGAAACTAGAGCAGGAGAGACTGGAGAGAGTGAGAGAGAGCAACAAAAAACAAATACAGTCATGTTTCTGTGAATCAGTAAAGGAGTAGAATGTTCTTTGGGCCAGAAGAGAATCGTGCGTAAATCTGGCCATTTGCGTAATATCGTGGAGGAGACATCACTGAGGAGGGATTGTTTTCTAACATCACACAAACTCACACAAACACGCTCTGTCAAACCTCCCTCTCTCGCTCTCTCTCTCTTTCTGTATGTCTGTATCGCTCTATGAATTCATTTTCACTGCTCGACTTTGTCTATATATGGTCAGCAGTTCGTTTATCTGGCCTTCTTTCGATTGAAGCAGATTGAATATTTGGGATTCCAGCGCCGGTCATGTTGCTGTGGCGATGGCTCTGACTGTCCTGATTGGCTGAATCACTCTCCAACTTTTTTTCTGAGCATCAAACAGCAGTTGCTTCTGCTGGCTGCCATGGCAACCGTTGCCTTGGGGACAGAGTCTGAAGCCCGGCTCTCATCGGTTTTGTTGTTTGTGTTCTTTTTTGGTAACTAGTCCATGTATCAGCCTGTTTGTGCATCATGCTTCGCTTTCTGGGAAATAAGGGGCACAGATGTAGGAGGGGGATTTTGGGGGGCTGAGCATAAGCGTGTACACACACACACACACACACACACACACACACATACACGTACACTCATTGATGTTCAGTATCACTTTGTTCCAGGAATGAAGAGGTAGGAAGATGGTTTTAGGGTAATAGTTTACAAAAACAAGTGCGAGCGATTGATCACCTTGTTCCGCTAAATGGAAAAACATAAGAAACATAACTCATGTTTCTCTGAAAGTTCTAGACTCGAACTTACTGCGAAACTTGCAGCCTGTTTTCACGCACAGATGGTCACGCACAACACTTGAATGTGTGCGAGACGTTCACACATTGAGTCACTGTTCTACACAGTCACAGACACACTCTCATATGTGCTCTCTCTGTCTGATTCCAGCAAAGCAGCTCCGCTGAGCTTGACGGTTTTGCTTCTTTGAAAGTTGTTTTGTCTCTTTCATTCTTAGTATAATCACTGTGTAAAGTGACTGACTGAAGGGATGTTTACTAGACCCTGTCTTCTATCTTATAATGTCATGGCGGACATCATCACTGTCACAAATCAGTTTTTTATATAAAAGAAGTACTACTTTTGGATCATTTCTATTGGTTCAGACATGAAATACATATAATGCAATATAAAAAGGCAAAAAAAATGGAGTTACAAGATTTTGACCTAATAGTGATACCTCTAGTATCTGAGGTAGTTTGACCTAATAGTGATACCACTAGTATCTGAGGTAGTTTGACCTAATAGTGATACCACTAGTATCTGAGGTAGTTGGTCTTTTTGTCTCTATCCAGACTTTCTTGAGGTTTATACAGATTCCAGCTAAAAGCTTTGAGGGAAAAATCACTCATACAGCTCTCACTCAGACAATTTGCGTTCCACAGGATGTTACTCTGTTCCCCCTGCCCCTTCAGACCTCCTCCCCTTTTGGGAGGCCCACTTCCTGTTGCTCTGACGACAACTTCCTGTCTCATCACAGCCCGGCTCTTTGTTCTGCTTTTTTTTAATGTTTGCTCTCACTGTCTTTCTCTCTCATTCATTAACACACACACGCACACATCCTCATTCTTTTTTTTCCCATGTGGTAAAGCAGTTAACGTTAAAAAAAAAAAACAGCACAGCAGCAGGGAACTCTCTTTCACTTCACATTAACTCAGGCCTACGGGTTTCAGGATGTCAGCAGTACTGTGTGAACATTTGAAAAAAACACTTCTTTTTTCCTTCATCTGAATCTCTATTATGCTGAAAAGCTTCTTATGTGAAGTAATACTGTCTTTATGATTCATTGCACGTGTATAAATCTTTACTGTTGCCTCATTTTAGGTAACAGTATGACTGATCTCGCCTGCTCACATACCTGCCACAGTGTTTACCACAATGACAGCCCCAAACATGGGTCATTTACTATTAACAGCACTGGGCTACTGAGAAAAGCGTCTGGTTTCTCTAAATAAAAGCTTCATGTGTCACAGGCCAGAATTTTCCTACTCAGAAACTGAGGTCAGCTATATTTTCACTGCTGCTGATAACATAAACAGAGTTCACTCATTCACATGTATAGTACTGTGTAGAAGTCAGAGATCACCCTTTATTTATTTAATTTCCAGTTAACATGGCAGTTAAGTACAGATTATTCATTGGATATAAGATTAAATATAACATGACATTCTATTTGCATAAGGATGGGAAAGTCAAAGGAGAATCATAAAAAAATATTAAATGAGACAGGAAAATGGGACCTGCTAGGCCACCAAACTGTCACCATCAGATGAACAGTACTTAAAGCTTTCGACTTTCAGAAATACGAGAAAATGAGTCTTCGCTCTTGCTTCAGATGTGGACAGATGTTTTCATCAGTCCTTCCACTGTGAGAAGACAGCTCAACACTGAGTCTGAAAGGATGTGTAGCTGTCAGGAAGTTGTTACTAAGAAAACAAAAAAGAAGAAAGTTTGTAAATCAAACAAAGAAGCTGCTGGTGTTCCCAGAACAATAGGCTGACCACCCCAGAGCCCAGACCTCAACATCATTGAATGTGTTTGGGATGACGTAGATCATGAGAAACAGAAAATGCAACCAACTTCTAAGACTGAAGTTTGGAGGTGTGGAACAATATCCCCACGCGTTGTTTTGAAAAACTGAAAGCATGTCTCCTGAACAGAACCTGTAATAAAGGTAATTAGATATTACGCAGTTGTTGAAACTTCTATGTAATCTTTTGGTTATTTTATTTTTTTATTTATTTATTGATTGTATTTAGTGGTCGATTTGGCTGAAAGTGAAACAGATAAAGGGTGGTCTCTGACTTCTGCACAGTACTGTATATAAAATAATTAAAAACCTATTAGGAATGTATTATTTTGGCACTGTTTCCAAATGACCAACAACAGTAGGCCTGCTTTACTGTGTGTGTGTGTCCTGAGTTGAACTCCCTTCTGTGTGTTCAGGATGTACACTCAGTGTGTGTGGGAGCATGTGGGTGTGTGGGTTGGGAAGGCAGCGATGGCATCATGATGATGATCCACCTTGCATCACTAGCAGAGTGTGGCAGGCACACACACATACACACAGTGAGGGCAGGGAACATACCAGCTCCGCTGTGACGTTATTTCCGTGTGTGTTTATGTGTGTGTGCACGATCTCTATCTGAAGTTAGTTACATAATGTCCAAATGCGGACGTTCACCCACAGGCCCTTCCGTCAGCCTCCTCTACATAAGAACATTGCTTGTTCTCTCTCTCCCTCTCTCCTTTTTTATGTTTCTCTCTCTTATCTCATTTCTCTGCTCTGGCATCCTGTAAGCTATTGTGCTGTCGTATGTGTTGTCGTCTTCTTTTCTTTGTATCTGTCCACAAGTTGATTGGTAATTCTTGAGGTTAAAATTTCTCTTTGATCCTTCATAAAGGTGATGTTGAAGCTTCTGACCACAGTTATGTTTTCTGACGCCTGATTTGGCTTCAGTCAGCGTCAGCCGTTTCCTGGGGACTCTTTTCATTTGTCATGCATGGTTGACCCCCCTGTGGCTTGGCACTGATTTGGTTCAGTGTTTTTAGGTGCTGAGCTGGTAGCTGTAAGGACAAAGCTGCTGACTGGAAGAGCGACTTGACGTCTGCTGTCGTGGGGATTTTTTTTACCCTCAGGGGCGATGTGGGGGCGAACAGGGGATTTACTATTATGATGTCATAATAAACATAGAATAATTACAAAGTTATAAAAGACGATTTAAATAGGGTGGAATTTCAGTATAGCAATGTATGTATATGTACCTGCTTGTTTATAAGCATTGGTTAGTGGTTATTACTATTATAACTATTAACTAATTATATTATTAATTAAAAGTATGGTGCGACATAATCTGACAGGACAGAGTCTGGACACTTCAGATACTGGATGAATGAGCTGCTTCCTCAATCCATAGTCCAGGCGGCAGTAGCGTTTATGTTGTCATTCACCAAAACCAATAACCACACAACCAACCACAATAGAACATAGCTCTCAAACTTTCTACTGCTAATACCACCCACGTGGGTCATTTTCACTCTCAGTTCTGGCGAAATTTTTGGTTACAGATTCCCCGATTCAGCATAGCCATGAAAAACCCAACCTATTTACTTCACATCCTGTTTTTGCTATCACAACAACACAGCAGTGTTGAGTACGATGACGAAACACTTTTAGAAATTCCCGACGCTGTCATTCTAAGTGGTCGCCCCCGATCACCTGACCGTAAGCAGCATGAAAGCGCAACGGGGGCGGAGTCCAATGTGTGGGGTAAGCCCTGAAGTCTCCATCTGAATCATAGGGGTTCCCCGACATACTCCCCAGACAGGCACATGCACACGATGTGAAAAATGGCGGCTGACAGACAGTGTTGTCTGTTTTAATCGTTTCCAGTAAACACAGGCATATGGATGAATTATGATAACATAGAGAATGACAATATATGTACCAGTATTCTGCTGTTTGACACACTGTTATAAACTGAAGATACATGCTGTTCCAGATGATATAATTTTATAGGCTTTGTGTGAAAAGGAGACTGGCATTATGGATACACGCTTCAAAACATATATATACTTTTTAAGTGGTTGGACGTTTCATGGTAGCCTTGACGTTATTGCATAGCAGCACAACACTTTTTGAGTTGTTGTTGTTGTTGTTGTTGTTGTTGTTGTTGTTGTTGTTACTCAGTCTGAGGTATAGAAGTTGGCTAGACTATATGTACGCAGACGGTGGACTTGTTTCAGTGGTGAGTAAGCTGTGTGTATTCTATTAATACACTCTGACTAAATGTGACTGCAGTCACTCACTTCCTCTGGCTATCTTGAGCACATATCTGTCTCTGTTTCACTTAACCCAGAAAGACATACATGCACACGCAGCAGAGTGAACAGTAGAAAAACCCACTTGCTTGTACGAGCACATTGTCACCTCTGTCTTGCCCTTAATTCAAAAACACTTGAACTCACATCTACGAGTGCACACACATGGAAACATACTGGATCCCCAGAATGATAGTTTGTGACCCCTCCTGCTGCTCCACCCCTCAGTTTTTCCTGTCACACACTTTTCTCGTGTGATAGTTGGCTTTACACACCGAGCCCTTCCTATGAGAGCATGGGGCGGACATGCTGTTTATCCAGCCGTCTCCCAAAATCCCTCTCACCATTGTGTTAGTCCTCTAGGCATTTAGAACTGCAGCGAGTAGTGCACATAACTTAGTTTCATAATATATATATATTCGTTGATGTTTCTGGATAATAAGCCTCATGATTAATAACTGAATCATAGGGTGCAGATGTTTAAAATTATCTTATCTGTCAATAAGAATTATACCAGGTTAGGCTTTTTGGTTAAAGGTTCTGTTGTGAAACTGAAGAATGAGTTGGCAGCCTTAAAACTTTGCCTTGTGGTTGAATCCACTTTAACATTTTAACGCTTAAAGCAGCAAGGGCAGATACCACAGGAGGGAAAAGGAAAAAAAATGACTTCCTTTATGAAGTCTGTAAAAGCAGAACGATTTCTGGTCAGAAAAAGAAAGAAAAAAATAAATGAGGGGGAAAAAAAGATAGTCCTCCAAACTGCTGGAGACAGCATCTATAAAGCCTGAAGTGAAACAGGCCTAGGCACTTCAAATCCACATGAACATGACAGCACACATTATATTAGGATGCCAATACATAGACATTTATAAAATGTCTAATTTAAACTGGATTAGCATTAAGGAGAAATATAACATTTATTTATATAGGGTTACATTTTGCAAGGGATCTGCTTTTCTGTAGAGTAATAAATACTTCAAGCATCAAGTGGAAATGGCTGTGAAATTTAAAAGCCTATAGCTTTTTAAGCAGTTATGTGGTGATACCATTGAGATTCCAATATCACTGTGCATCTTTGCTGTTCGTAATATACTGCATCTAACCAGGAGTTGCAATTAGCTTGCTACAGCTGGCATCACCAAATGGTTGGTCTGCACTGAGGTTAGATGGGCTTCTGTGTTTATTGCAACTGACACAAACACTAGCAGCTCATCCTCTGTGGAGCTCTATTTGGGGTTGCATGTTGTGCGCTCACAGATCCCCATAATTTTTGCTGGGCTCCTACTATTTAAGAAGATTATGTGGTTTGCTGGTGCAGCACATATAAACTTCTGAAATGTTCCTAAGTAGAATATCTTAAACAACAAGTGGCTTAAGGCTGTTATCTGGTACTTACAGTCTGTAGATATGTAGGTCAGGGCTGGTTGAAGCATCTTCCTTTTCTCACAGGCACATGAGAATTCCACGCTGAGAACTACAGCTCTAGCCTTGCACATGCTGAACTGTTGTTTGGGTTGAAGAATGTAGAATTCGGGGTAGAAATAGTAACTCAAATGATCTCCTCTTCTCTTTTTTCAGTGATCAAGGCCTGCCTACTTCAACAAAATGATTGGCTGCCAGAACTAAAGCCAACAGTCGTGGTCATTACCAGGAGCAGACGCTAGATGTTCAATTGAAAGGTGAAACTCGTGTGTGTGTGTGTGTGTGTGTGTGTGTGTGTGTGTGTGTAAATAGTGTGAAATAGTGTGAGAAACAATGAACAGCAGCATCACGATTATTTCAGTCCTCATGGAATCTAAATCCAAAGCTCCTGAAATATCACAGGGCTTATAATAGCATGGCACACAGAGCTGGAGAGAATGAGAAGCAGTGCGGACACTGTGGGCTCAAAATATTCGCCACACACGCACACACGCTGTCTGACTGGCACTGGTGAGCAATGATGTCTCATCCACACACTTGCTGTTTGCCCGTGTGTCACAGCTATCTTTGAATAGTGCAGCATGTCTGTCACAGCTAGCACAGTGTTGAATAACAGGGTCTTATTTGCAGAGTTTGTTCTCGTTCACTATGAGTTGAGAACAAACCTAAGATTATGAGCAATGATTGCTCATTTTCAGACTCACCCATGTTATTTCTATCAACCAACTGACATTTTCGCAGTACACCGTATGTTTCACAATAATTATTTTATTAAGGTTTGATAAGTTGGGACATACAAAAAAGCCCCAGTACATTTATGTTTTACACACTGCACTACACTGAATCCAATTCAGCAGGTCTATGAAGCATTATGAAGCAAAATGACACGCTAACACTAAATACTGTCATGTTGTCCACCCCCGACTTAGTATTTAAATTTGGTTAACCCTCCTTCTTTGTACAAGGCAAGTAGCTGTGCTAAGTATGTCATTACTTAGTGCCTAATGAGCTGAGCTGCCTTACAAACATGCCTTAACAGATTTTCTGGTTCATATGGCACAGGTCAGCTTTGGCACCCATTTAATGTCTTGATTCATGTGTAAGAGAAACTTACATGAAGCGTAAGGGCGATAGCAAAAATATAATATCACTACGTCAAGAAGTGCCTATGTGTGTATGCTGAACAGTCTAATTTATTCCATGTGTGTGTGTGTGTGTGTGTGTATGCATGCTTCCATCCGGCCTGTATGCTTGTGTGTGTGTGTGTGTGTGTGTGTTTCGGCTACGTGGGCAGGTGTGTGTGGGTATTTGATATGAACACAGCCGGTCCTGTCACTTGGTCTGGCTCCCTGAAGAATGCTGTAATTTTAGGCCCACTTTTTTTCCTTTTCTTAATCTACTGCTCCATCCTGTTCAGCCCTTCTGTTGTTCCTTGCCCCTCCTCCCTCCCTGTCCCATCTCTCTTTCTCTCTCTCTCTCACCCACTCACTGTCTTTCTCCTCAACACGCCTGGCCTAATGAGATTAGCCTTGGTGTCTTTCTTGTTATACACACAAACACACACAGGACCAGAAGCACAGTGCACACTCAAAAGCTCAACAGAAGGGCATAAGCTTACCCACACACGCTCGCTCACACAAACACAGCACACACTACACCGCTGGCTTGGCTCCAGAAGCCCTCTCTGCCTCTCCTTCCCTCCCCCTCTGTTTCTCTCTCTCTCTGCCAGGAGGCCCCAGGAAGGGTTATAATGACCTCAGTGCACTCATCCTATAGGTGAACTCCCACTAGCCCATCTGTGCTCCACTCGCACAGTCCCACATATGCTGCACTCACTGCCCCCTACAGGCTGCCTGTAGTATTAACACAGCTGAGACCTTCTTTGTTTAGCTCTCCGCTCAAGTATTACATTCGCAGCCGTTACACAGACAAGTCATTTGGTAAACACACAGAGTTTGAATGAATGATTAAAAAGAAAACATAGTCATTATTTGCTTTATTGACTATTCAGCCTTGCCATCTAACATGAACTTGCTGCAGCTTGTCAGAGCTCCTCCTACTTCTTTGTTGTGCCACCCTCTGAAATTTTCCATACAGGGCATTACAACATGGTCATTAGAAACAGTGAAATGGCTCCAGAGCTCATAACTATATAGTGATCAGCCATTTAAGACCTAGTCTCATTCTGTGATTAAAGGGCTTTGGTCCAAATTAATGAATGTGCACCAGAAAGTGGTGGCTGCAAGAATAATGTTTAAATATAATAAGTAGAAGTTTTTTTTTTTGTTTAAATCAGCAGTGTGTCAGATCATTTGTATTTTAGATGATCATAAAACATCTGTAAAGTGTTTCTGTGGATGCTGTTTGAGTGTTATGTGCTCTCTAAAGGAAATCCATTGAAACCTTTCTTTGCCTCTGCAGTTCTCAGGAGCAGCGGTAGACAAGTTCTCCTCAGTGTCTGTGTGTGGCCCTCTCTCTGCTGCAGTGGAGGGCTTCACGCACACAGCTAGTGTGGTGAGTAATTGCAGAATCAGCATACAGGTCAATACATGTCTCGAGACCATTTTGTGTCAATGGCAAAAGAAGTTATTTCCAGCATGCTTACAGTGATTTTACCCTCAGCAGCACTCTGGTTGCTAGTATTTTCTTTTATAGTAAAACATAAGTAATTACTGTGTGCTTTTCACAGGCTGGATGCATCACACAGCAGAGCAGTTTGGCGCGCGCAGCACACGGGACCCTTTCCATCTAGACGGAATCAACCGTGGAACATGGGCTCCCGTGAGCGGCCGTGCTTGGCCTCCTCCCCCCAGGTAGGTACACCAGCCCCTATTCCCCAATGTCCCTTGAAAGGAATTCTCTCCCATTTTTCTGTCTAATCTATGTAGCATACAGTTGATTAACACAGACAGTAATTTTGACGTTTCTCAACACTTAGAACAGAAAAACACTGATTCAGCACACTTATAAATGGAAACTAGTGGTCAAATTCTACACATGCAACAGATAGGGATTAGGCTGAACTTCATCCAGTATTCCCTAATTCTTATTTTTTCTCCTGACAGGTGCTCACCTGGTGTCAGTCAAACCCAGTTCCTCCCAAACATCCCACCCAGTCACATGGCAGGGCTGAACCATCCAAGTAAATTCTTCAACAGTGGGTAAGTGTATGAGCACAGACATTGTCACAATGGATAATTTACAGCGCAAGTCGGTTCTTACTTCTTTGTATGTACGTGTCTCTGTAATTAGTCCACTGGCACGTGGAGGGGATAAGCTGGAACCGTCTCAGGCCTTGTTGCCAGGATTACATCGGGACCCGCGGGCACCACCAGCCACACCCAGGCCATGGGAGTCCATTGGTCAGCATTATGATCAGTTGCCCAGTGATGACCATTTCCGTTTACACAACGGATACAACACTGGACCACTTGCACACCTCACCGCCCGAGCCAACCAACTATTGAAGGTGAACAAGACACACATTCAGTGTGATTACATTTCCCTATAATTAAATACAAACCTAAGCTGAGACTCTTGAACAATGTACAGCAGTATTCCATAGATTAAATGTCATAGGGAGCTTACTTCCACCATAATATGTCTATAGTAATATACTTTTTGTTTACAAGCTTTTCACATCCACTTCGTAAGTTCAGAACAAATGTTCTAAAAAGCTTAAAGTTCATAGAATGAAGATTTATATTAGGCCATATTTTATAATGCTTTTATGTTACTCCAACTTTGTAACATGGTAACTAAATAAATGTTGTTTCAATGTTTTTCTCTCTCTCAGTATGGTCCCCTTCCTGCACATCATGGCTCCAGGCAAATGCCTCCTCTTTGTAATGATATGTGGGCACAGTCCCAGCAGCAGCAGCAACCACCACCACCTAGGGACCCTTACTCTCATGCTAGCCAGTTAAAGCGGTCGGCGCCTCCATTGGGAGAGCAGTCTGTCATTCAGCACACCCCCCATCCTCTGAACAGGCCTAGTGAGGATTGCCCTAGCCCGAGCAAGAGGAAGAGGAGCTCAGAATCTGATCAGGTAAGGACTGACACATTAGAAGATTAAAGAAGATTAGTTTTCCAAAAAACAGATTAGGTTATGCTGGTAGCTGTCACTGTATGTGTAAATTTAGTCCTGTCACATTTCCCTACCAGGTCTACTTTACTACTGTGACATTAAGCCCTTTAAATCAATACTATCGAGCTTGTACACAGATTTCTATTTCATGTACTATTTTTAGCTTTAGTACAACTGCTAGCTTTGTTATGAAAATGATTTCAACCATGCTTCTAATGAGGATGACTATTTTTCTGCTAATTCTTTCAGAAATGTAACATTCCTTTTGATCAAGCACCATTTTTGTTTGCAGCATATGACTGGTGCCTATCAGTTCTCTGGACCAATTGGAGCTTCCTTGTCCTCGCTGCAGCAGCCTCAGTCCCACTGTCCCCCACCGAAACAGGGATTCTGGAACCCTTTGCAAAAGGGAAATGCATCCTGGGGCCCAGCTGAACGGAAGGTGGAATCCACAGAGTTTCAGGTCAGTAAAAATGATCTCGTTAGTAATAACATTCAGTAATAGGGATCCTCCATCCTTAACACACTAACATTTAAGTTGTGTATAGATCTGTGTATATTTTTGTTTGACACCACAATTTTAATTCACATTTATGTCTGACTTACTCACCTCACTGTTCATTCACAGGACTTGCGCAAACCAGGAATGGATGACTTCAGTTACAAACACTCCCCATCCTCCAAACTCTCACCTATCTCTCCACCTCCCATTTCCGCCCCTGGGGGTTATGGACAAGGCCGAGGTCCTCCAACCCAGCGCCACAAGCCTTCTCTGTCACCACAGTCTATGGGGTCCTCTTCTAACAGTGCCCACCTCAATGGCCGAACATACCCCTACCCCAACAACAAACCTTCAGCTCAGACTCAGGGGGAGCAACAGGGCATTCCCTCCCACAGAGCGCATGATTCTGGGGTGAGCTCCACTGGCAGCCAAGCACCCCCTCTACGACCTTCACTAACCCAGTCCAACAGGGATTGCCCTGCCCCCACACCAGCACACCATGCCACCGTGCCTTACAGCCACCCCAACTTCCAGCCCCATCCAGGGCTGGTCCACACCACCAGCTCCTCTTCCAGCAGCAGGACACAGGCCACAGCACCTCAATGTAACTCTCAGAAGCCCTGGAAGAACCAGACCAAACATGGTCATCATAGCCCAGTGAGTGCCAGATTCAGTAGAATGAACAGCTCAACCAGTGGATGTGTATAACTATTTAAAATTTTTTTGGTTAAAGTTTAATTTAAGAAATAATTTGTGCAAATGTGAAATGGTGTTTCTGATAATATGTTAATCTTTGTGTTTCTCCTCAGGATTCAGGTCCCTACCGCCCACCGGTGGAGCCTCAGGTCACCTCTTCATCTCTACAGCAACAGCAGAATGGGACTGGGGAGAACCAAGATGCAAGTACTCCCCAACACTTAAGTTCCCCTCAGGCTCTGACTCGAGCCCCAGTTATCACCCCCAACATGCCCTCCCTAGAACCTTCAAGTCCTACTTGCTCACTGGGCCTGTATAGTAGTGGGGAATCTGTCCCAACCATGAGTTCATTGTCCTCTACTAACTCTGCTGCAGCCAGCACCGTGAACAGCTGGAAAGCCACAGACTCTTCGGAGCTAATCTCAGAAACCAATCCAGCTCCATCGGCACAAAGTCTCCCACATCAGGGCTACCAGGGATCCCAGTCCCAGGGAACCCACCCCCACCACCAACAAGAGGCCAAAACTCGGCATAAGCCACCGCCTTTACCCCACCAAGATCAGGGCAGACCCCACTATACCCAGATAGTTTCCTCGTTTCCTTCTACTCTCAGCTCAGGGTTTCAGAGATCAGGAAGTAGTGTCATCACCAGCAGGGCCTCAAATAACCTCCCGCAGGTTGCCAGTTCACCCCTTCACCACCCACAGTCTGCAGCACCCAACACTGTGAACACAGCTCCTCAGCCACACTCGGATCCTTTGTACCCCAAGATGCCTCACCATGCAGTCCCTGCAGTGTCTCAGGTGCCCCCTGCCCAGGCATATCAAAAGCCATGCCAGCATCCTGCCATTTCCAGCCCAGATTCTATTGAAGATGCACTGAAAAAACTTAATGCTGAGCTGCAGGACCACATGCAAGCTGAAGAGCGAAGGAGAGAACAGGAGGAAGAGGAGAGAAAACAGAAGAGGGAGAGAAAGGAAGTAAGCATGAAGGTACATGAGGAGTCTGCAATTGAGAGCCTGGAGCGGTTGCTGTCAAATAGTGCTACTGATCCACCACCTCCACACCTGTCTCCAGCAATTGCATCTTCCTCAGTGTCACCGCCGATCCAGGCATCGCCTCCCTGGCTGAGCCGGGGTGGTGTTCCCACTCGTCCACCTGTGCCTGGCACAGCTCCCCCAGAAAGGTCTCGACCACCTCCTCTCACACCTCAAACAGACTATGCCCGTGAGAAGCAAAGGCAGAGAGAGCAGTGGAACAGCAAAGCATCAGTCAGTCCCCCTTCACAGAATACCTCAGGGATTCCCACACCTACATACCCCTCCAAACCTGCCCCAGCAGACTCTTCAAGTAACCAAACAATACAGTCGACATCTTGTCCATCCAAAGACTCTCCCATTCAAAAGAGCCCTCATGAGGTCAGGGCTATGGGTGCTATTCCCAACCCACCAAACTTACGAGAACCCCCAAAACTGTACCAGGCCTTCCCCAGGGACACTCTACCATCTTGCCAACCAACAGGTACAAGTTCAGGCAATCTCCACAAAAGTATGCCCAGTGGTGGGCTAGGTAGTCTTGGCAGCAGTGCAAGTAGTTGCAGTGGGGATTCAGATAGTGCCCAGTTTGAAGAGGAACAATCTGAGCTCTTTCCTGATGGTTTGGCAAACATCATGAAGATGTTGGATGAGTCCATTAAGAAAGAAGAGGAACTGTACTCTGGTCAAAGTGGCGCACAGACCTGCTCAAAGCCAACATTTTCTGTCACTGTGACGCCCATGAAGAGTTACCTGGGTGCCCCTGACCTCATGCCTGCCCTGAAACAACCATCCTCTGAAGATTATCTGACAGACACCCATGCTAGCCCCCCTGTCCTGAGTCGTCAGGGATCTTTGGCATCACCTTGCAGTCGTACCTCTTCACTTGAGGAAGAGGAGGAGATGCTAAAGATCATCCCGAAGCCAGCCAATACTCAGCATCAAGATAGTGGTGTTAGCATCACAGGAACCAACTATCGCCATAGTGACCTGGCCAAACTATATGGACTTCCAGAGGCAGTGAAGAGTGAATGTGAGGAGGATGAGGAAGAGGCAGAGCAAGAAGATGATACACCTTCCTGTTCCCCACCACCTATGAGGCCACACCTGCATCAGACCGGAGTGAACAGCATGTTTAAAAATTTAGCATCTGTGCTGGAGAGCCAGAAGTATGCCTACCGTGGAGGGCCATTCGGTCGGCCACCCCCCTCTGCCCTGGTAGGAGTGAAATACTCTTCCTCACTTTCATTGGGCCCAGATATCTGCAGACAACAAAGCACTTCTCCCACATCAGGATCAGTTAGCCACCCAGGCTTTAGTAACCCAACCCAGGCCCCAACAAATACTACCTCAGAACAGACCCATCCTCAGTCACCATCAGGATGTGCCACAGAGAGAAAAGGAGGGCCTCTGTCGAGTCAGTCTGATCTTTCTGGACCTGAGAGTGAGGAAGGGATGAGGAAGGGGCCTACAGATAAAGAAGGTACTGGTGATGTCTCCAAAGAGGTAGAAGGGAGGCCCAAGCTCATGACCATCTCAGAATCATCACTTGCAGAGTTGGGTCGCAGCTGTGAGGTGATGTTAAACCGACATAAACTTCCTTCAAAAGCATTATTGGACCACAGTAAGCCTGAGACTCGGGAGATGTACAAACCTGAGAAGGAGCGGAACCGTGAGAGAGAACGAGAGCGTGACCCAGAGAGGAAACACAAACACAGTAGCAAAAAGCATGAGGACAGGAAAGAGAGAAAGAAAAAACACAGAGAAAGACGAGAAGAAATGTCCTTCTCTTCTTCCTCCTCTTCATCATCAAGCTCCAGTCGGCGGCACAAAGAGGGCAAACCACACAAAGAGAAGAGGGGCAATGTGGACCTTCAGATTAAGGAAATCCGGGAGAAAGACAGAGAACAAGAAGGAGAGAAAAAGAAAAGGAAAGAAGAAGGAAGTGAAAGAGAGGAATGGGTGTCTTGGAACAAGGAGAAGAGTGGAAGTTCATCAGATCGTTCATCATCTTCATCTGCACTAGGTTCAACAGACTTTCAGAAGCTGAAGGCTTTGACAGATGGGCCACCCAAAGAGTTGAAGATTCGCCTGATTAAGGTGGAGAGCGGAGACAGAGAAACTTTCATTGCCTCAGAGGTAGAGGAGAAGAGGATTCCACTGCAGGAGATCAGCATCAAGAACACAGCAAGTGAAATCATCAGATCTTGCAAGTGAGTCATGGTGACCTTTATGCTGTCAGTGAGTGGTACAGATCATGAATGAAAGGATCCAAATGATCAAAAGACTAGAACATGGTGTGTGTAGAATTATATTACTCTAACAGATTTTTTTACTTTAACATTTCAGGGCAGCCCGTGTAAAAGGGAAGTTTAAAGAGTCCTATCTACTCCCCTCCTTCTCTGTGAAACCAGTTTTGTCCATGGAGCATCCAATCCCACGGGAGAAACTCAACCCTCCCACACCCAGCATCTACGTAAGTGCATTACACACAATGAAAAGTTGATAGCTGTGTGACTGACTTTTTCTGATCCCTTAACTAGGTTTGCAGCATTGTGCATAGGTCTACAGCCCGAAGCTTTACACTAAATGAGTAATAGAGGGCATAGTTTACACTTTACATAGGGTAAAATGGTACTTCATTCTTGATGGTTCTGCCCTTTTCCATTACAGCTGGAAAGCAAAAGAGATGCCTTCTCTCCTGTGCTACTTCAGTTCTGCACAGACCCCAAGAACCCAATTACTGTCATTAGAGGACTGGCAGGCTCCCTGAGACTGAGTGAGTACCACATCACTACAGCACCATCCTGTGTATTGCTCACAATGCATAAAGAAGAGCTTTGATTCTGCACCAGAGCTTTAGCAATGAAGTGATAAAATAGCAGTGCTGACAAACGTTTTTACTTACTAATTGTGAATTGCCATAACTTAAAGGGCCCACATCACAGAAAATCATATTTCCCTTGCTATTTGGAATGAGAGTTGCAGTGTATAATCCATATTTGAAAACTTATTTTTAATTAATTTGTTGTGATGTCACAAAAACCAATACATTTACATAAATCCTATTTAGCCTACAGCAGTTTAGCTCTGCCCAACTTATAGGGAATGTTTAAGCCTGGACTGCTGTTTATGAGGCACAGTACAGGGCAGCCAAAGGTAAAGTCTTAAAAACACAGTGACAAAAACAGCTTGTTTTATTCTAAGGGATAAAGAGAGGTTGAAAAGTGGTTGTGTAAAAATGAATTAAGGCTGTTTTGGTACATAAAACCACACAAACATTATGAGTGAACTTTATGGGGAAAATATGTAAAAATATGGGATATAGGCCCTTTTAATAACTACATATTCAGAAAACTACCATCCCCATCAAGCCATCCCCACAAGAGACATTAATATGCAAGGTGTATGACAAAAATTATACTTCTGTGAAGTGACTGTATCTGTACTTTTATCTCTGCAGATTTGGGTCTGTTCTCCACTAAATCCCTAGTGGAAGCAAATGCAGATCAGGCAGTTGAGGTGAGAACTCAGGTGCAGCAGCCAGCTGATGAGAACTGGGACCCCAGCGGCACCGGGCAAATCTGGCCCTGTGAGAGCAGTCGTTCACACACCACCATAGCCAAATATGCCCAGTACCAGGCCTCCAGCTTCCAGGAGAGCCTCCAGGTTGGACTAATGTGTCTTTCTGAGCAATAATGATTTTTTTATGCTTTGCACTATATTGTAACAAGCATGTACTTCTATCTGTTCACGTGAAGTCACATTTGTACGTCTGTTCCCGCAGGAAGAGAAAGGCAGTGATGTTGATGACGACGATGATGACGATGAGAAAAAGCCTGTCAATAATTCAGACAGCGCAAACAGCAACTCCACGAATTCAGGCTCCAGGTATTTTAAACTAATATCTGTGCATAAAAATTATCTTGAAAAGATTTTTATATCTGTTGATATACCTGTTTTATTTAACGCATCTTTGATACACCACTTCTATACTTCTTGTACCCCTATCAGCCCAGAACAGAAATCAGTGGGAAAAATCATCAAATTCGGCACTAACATCGACCTCTCTGATCCAAAGAGGTAAGAGAACAATGCATTAAGAAACATTTGTTCAGGTGCTTCCATAGTGGTTGTTTCACAGGTCCCTTTTTCTCAAAGCTTCTAAATGCTTTTGTCTTACTGACCTCTACTGGTCATCTAATGCTGTGCACTCGTATGTCTCTATGTCTCATACATTTCCATTTTGTTCACTCACATTAGATCATTTATAGTTAGGTAATTTATATTTTGGTATTCTGAACATATATTTGTGTGTACAGGTGGAAGCCTCAGCTGCAGGAGCTGCAGAAGTTGCCTGCGTTCATGCGTGTGTCCTCCAGTGGTAATATGCTGAGTCATGTTGGACACACCATCCTAGGCATGAACACCGTACAGCTCTACATGAAAGTCCCCGGCAGTCGCACACCAGGTGTGTGTATGCGCGTCTGCATCCTCACGTAATTCTCCCAAAGCCACTAGTGCTAAATAAACATGGGGCAGTCTGTGATAAAATCTCTGAATGTATCCTGAAAGATCTGTGGTTGTGCTTGGTGTTAAAAGTCTCTGTTCTTTCGTCTGTTTATAGGCCACCAGGAGAACAATAATTTCTGCTCTGTGAACATTAACATTGGCCCTGGAGACTGTGAGTGGTTTGCTGTCCATGATAACTACTGGAAGGCCATCAGCGATTTCTGTGAGAAGTAAGGAAGAATGGCACAGCATTCATCACTGTTAATTCTCTCTCCAGTGGTTAAGACGATCTTAATGTTTTAGAAAATCACCTTTAGATACATTTAATACTTCTCAGACATTAGGCTGCTGTGTTAGAGTCTAAAACATAAGACAGTGTTCATAGATATTTTGAATGATAATGGGCAGAGATATCTGTTGTACAAAATATCTACACTGGGTTTACAGGTCATGTACACTGGGTCACCCTTAGGGCACTACCCTAAAGCCTGCATGACAGGTCAAGTATTTGGCCAAAAAAAAAATTTGATCATAGTATTATAAACGATCTTTGCATGATTCTGTATATTTGTGTATTTGTGAAGGTTATATACAGATGCTACAGATTAATCAGTAGTTCCTCAAGATTAATTATAAATCTTGTGATTAGCTCCAGAAAGGAAAGGCAATGTAAGAATAGATCTATTTAATTAATTATCAGTTGTCTGCTGTTGCTGGTTAAAAGTTCTGAAAGTGGAAATGTGACTGACTATGGTCCCTTATTTCAGGCACGGTGTGGACTATTTGACTGGCTCTTGGTGGCCAGTGCTGGAGGATCTCTACCGCTCCAATATCCCTGTATACCGCTTCATCCAGAGACCTGGGGACTTGGTGTGGATCAATGCAGGCACAGTGCACTGGGTCCAGGCTGTGGGCTGGTGCAATAACATTGCATGGAATGTGGGACCACTTAATGGTAAAGGGCCCCCTGGTGGCTAATCTAAACAGAAATAATATTTTGTTATTTAGGAAAGTCATGCTAATGAAATTATCACTTCATTTTAATACAGTATTATTTGTGTGTGCCTTGAAGTTGTAACGGTGTTGTGACTGTATATGTCATTGTGATTTAAGCGTACCAATACCAGTTGGCCCTGGAAAGGTTTGAGTGGAACGAAGTGAACAAAGTGAAGTCCATCGTGCCCATGATCCATGTGTCCTGGAATGTGGCCCGTACAGTCAAAATTACTGACCCTGATACTTATAAGATGATCAAGTAAGTAAGCTGCAACTACCATAAGAACATATCAACTGTTTTGGTGTGTTAACACTTGACATTATGCGGTTTAAAATACTTCTGTGTAGGACAAAAAGCATATTAAGTCATAAGTACAAATGTGTGAGTATAAACATAACTGATAGCTCTCTTCTCTGTCTTGCTCAGACACTGTCTCTTGCAGTCCTTGAAGCACATTCAGATCCTGAGAGACCAACTGGTAGCTGCAGGGAAAAAGATTTCTTACCAGAGCAGAGTAAAGGACGAACCAGCCTACTACTGCAACGAGTGTGATGTGAGTAATCCATTAAAACCTATTCATTCAATTACAAGCTCTGTCACTGTCTGCAAGAGCTGCTCCATTCAAGCAATTAAAATGCTGTATAACCATATATTTTTTTCAGCTATGTCAAGTATACAAATTGAACTTCTTTTACGTGTCTTTTTATAAAGGTGGAGGTTTTTAATCTGCTGTTTGTGACGAGTGAGAATGGCAGTAAGAAGATGTACGTGGTGCATTGTGAGGACTGTGCCAGGCAGCGCAGCCCCAACCTCTCTAATGTAGTGGTGCTAGAACAATACCGCACAGAGGACCTGATGAACACTTACGACTCCTTCAGCTTGGTGAGGATACACACACACATTCAACAGGGTGGTACTGACTTCTTCCTGATAGGGTCTTTGTACTTATGGTTATACCTTGCACTTTATGCTGTCATGTACTGGGTACATTCATGTGAATATGCAGTAGATACACTTGGATTGATGCACTGTGGAGGTATTATGATCATGTCAGGCAATTAAAATTCACTTTTTTTTCTCTTCTTCCTTTTTAGGCCTCGGCCCCTAGCTCTCGGTGAAATCAACTCTGCCACTCCCCCCACCCCCCACAGCCATAACCAAAACTCCTGCTTGCCAGGACAAGTTATTTTAGTGAGAACCTTTTGTCTTTTATTTTTCCTACATTTACATTTTTACAGTACTACTACTGCTAATGCTTGTTGAACCGCCAATCGTAAACCAGTTTACTCAGCATTGTTTACAATACCAATCAGCCAATAAGACTCCAGTTTACTGTCAGCAGCCCAACCTACCAACCTCGGATTGGCCCTGAGGGACTTAAAATGGAATGAAGTTTGTGCTGCCACAGTAATGCTGGCATAATTTACGATAAAAGTGGTATCTCTGTATTTGTTGCTTATTGGTTCTGGTTTTCATTTTTGTTCTTTTGGGTCGTTCTCTTTCTGTCTTGAATACTGAAAAGTGTAAATGCTGTTTGTATTTTTTGTGGGTGCTGTTTTTTTTTTTTCCTAATTTATTTTCAAAACTAGAACAGCCTAGATATATACCACATTGGCCTTGTGACTTGTATTTAGTGAAGAAATAAAGAAATAAATAATACTAATAATAGATATATAAACATTTTTCTAAGGCATTAAGAATAAAAAATAACATTTGTTTGGTATGGTTCAAAACATACGGGTTTAAAATACTTTTTCAGTTTTAGATACTGTGTCTAAAAATATTGTGTATAATATCATGATTTTATTTCCTTGAAGAGAGAACTCCATCGTCATGACAAAAGCATTTTAAGATTGCATCGGGGTTTTTTTCCATTTATTTTCCTGATTTTTGTGAGATTACAGTTTGTCATCTGTTTAGTGAATCGTTTTACCTCTCATTCTTGCTTAATATACAGATTTATTCTCTTGATATTTTTTTTCCAATTGTACATTTTATTTAATTTCTTTCTTCTATTTATTGGATATAAAATGTCCCTTTCCCCCTTTTTTAGGGTTATCAGAGATGTCTAAGGTTTTCTATTTTCTAGTTGATCTATAAGTTTTTAAGGAGAGATTCAGAGGTGCTTAGTCCCTTAAACGCTTCTCATGATCTATATATATAAATATATATAAAGAACATTAATTCTTTAATGACTATAACTTCACTTTCCTGTAGATTGTAGAACACAGAACAGATGTAGTTTGTAAAAGCCGTAAAAGCTTTCTTTTGTAAACGAGAGCAAAAAGCCACTTTTTCACTGACATTAGCAGCAAAAATGAAATGCAAATGACACACTGCTGCGCATTATGGCCCCTAACTCACCCTGATGGTTACTGTACCTCGTATTGTGGGAACAATGCGAATAAATACAGAGCTGTTTTTAAAGTATCTACACATTTAATGGTGCTTGAATTTGTTTTAAGTGTTGTCTATGGGAGAACACAGCTGCAGTGCCAACCAAGGCATAAATCTCTGGTTGTACAAAATATTACTGCAGTTGGTTGTCACAGACCAATAAATGAGGTTTTGGGGTTTTTTGTTTGTTTGTTTGTTTGTTTGTTTGTTTGAAAGAAAATCACATCAAACTGTAAATACTGTGGCATTTTACTGGAATGAGGTTAAGTGTGAATCGAATTATCCATTCGATTGATAAACTGTAATTTCTTTTTTAATTTTAGTCTTAAGCTTGAATCAGTTATTTCACATATGAAAACATTGGTTACGATTATGATATAGAAGGTGCTGAGTTCTCTTTGAACTACTTTCTTTTTTGTTTCGAAAGAAAAAAATCTATTTTTCCTGTTGCAATATAATCCTCTCTTCTTTTTGTGGTCATTTATTTAAAATCTGCACTGTTTTAGAGAGTTCACACAGAAAGCAAACTGAGCCAGACATGTCTTAAACACTTTGTGAATTTGTGTGACATTACTATGATTATTAATATTAAATGCTTTTGATAAACTTGGAGTGTAACTGACCTCTTAATTCAAAGATATGGGGTTTCTCATTACGTTGACGTTTTGCATTGACAATAGGGAGCACTATTCCTACCTCAGTTGGTGTTTTGATGATGCTGGTGAAAGCGCCATCTAGCACGCTGGCCCAAATTCTCCCCTAGGTTTTTAACTGAGTTCAGCTCAGGCGACTGTAAAGAGAAGACAACTAAATTATTATTGAGTTATTTTTATTTAACAGAATCATGCTTGTACACTCTAAGCATCACAGTCCTACTTGTGTTTGATTGTTAAGTGTTGGACGGAAACAAAAGGATTAAATTTTAAAATGCCCAGCAGAAAACTGGCCAATCAGGAATTGGTTTTCCCTGTGGTATCTAGGTAGACAGAGCTAAGCAAGCTCTCCTATTGGTTTGCACTTGACGAGAGGTGCTAAGGTGTTACATTAACCATCAGCATAATTATGAAGTGACAGAGGAATCAGCCAGGCGCATTTTCATTTCCAACGGGTGGCACCAATTTAGTAAGGAAACACTAAAGGTAACTCTAGGCCTCCTGGAAGTCTTAGATACATCACTGACTATGAATACGATCGACAGTGGTAGTTAGAAACAGACAACAGCGCTGCTTCACACCAGACCTACTGTACTGAAAGAGAACACAGGATAAAACACATTAATATGTCTTTCACAAACTTCAAGTAACATGGAATGTGTTTTAGAAGCTTTAAATTTCTGTGTTTAATCTAGAAGTGCCTTTTTCTAATTTTCCGTCCCACCTTAATCATACATACATTCTGGTGCCATTTGTGCCGGAATATAACTGCTGCACTGTTTAATTTGGAATAAAAAATTCAAATAAGAATCTCAGCCTTGTCAGAAAGTGTTCATGCGAATCATCAGTAGTTTAGCGATAACAAACCTCTAGAATCCTATAGAGAAGTTTGCTTTATTGTTAAGCTTTTTTTTTCTCATGTTTTGACTGAGTTTTGACATTTATGGCCCAAACTGAAGCCCAAGGTCTAATAGTCGCAGTTCACCACTGATTATTTACATTATTTTCTAGTAGGGGTGGAAATCTCTAGGCACCTCCCGATTCGATTTGATTACGATTCAGAGGGCTGCGATGCGATTCTAAAACGATTATCGATGCATCTCGGTGCATCTTCTTTTTCTATATAGCATTTATATTTTCTCACTGTGTGAGCTCAAGTTTCGAGTTCAAGTTTCAAGTTTATTTTATCACTTGCACAACATGTCAGGACATTTATGCATTGAAATGCTTGTGGTGAGGCTCAGCTAATCACTCTACAGAAAGTAAATAAGTGAAAATAAAAATATAAGAAAAACCAACTGAAATAAATATACACAAAATATACACAGAATATAGAGACAATATACATTTTAAAGTGACTAAGTGACTCAGTGTTATTGTTATTTAAAGTGACTTGGTACTTTTAAAGCAAAGTATTTGTAATGATCCATAATGAATTTACTTCCAATATCTTTTTTAATAAAACAAACGGAAGTGATGGGGCAAGTGAACTGGAAGGCTCTCATTCAGTGCTCTTGTTTGGAGCACGAGAAGCTGCTGCTACTCATCTGCGATAAAATGCGCAGTTACGGTGAAATACGGTGACTGCAGGTCACATAGCAGCGATGCGTTATTCGCATTTATAAGCAGCGCAGTTGGTTTCCTGGTACGTTAAATCTGCAACGAGAGACTGTCAAACACTAAAAAGTGGCGAAGCTGAAGTCGCTTCTCTTTCGAATTCTCCCGTTCCACCTTAAATGGTGCCGCATTTACATTTCGACGCCTCAGTTACAATTTAAGGTGGAACAGGTAAATTTGAACAAGAAGCTGGAGAATAAGAAGCGACTTCAGCTTCATAAAACAGTCGGACGTTGAGAGACTTTTAACTGATCTACTTCTGAGGGAAAGTTTTCTGGCGGAGATGGGAGGAAAGCGGCTATAGCTAAAGCTTAAAGCAGAGCGAAGTAAATCTGCGTTTTCGTTTATATTGTTTAGCCTATACTAGGACATTATCACATACTGAGGCATAATGGACATTAAATGTTGTGGCTCCCTAAGGTGGTTTGATTTTTGTTGAAGGGTCAAAATGGCTCTTCTTAACCTTTTGGGTTGTGACTTCTGACCTAACCTGGCTTTAATGCAGTGGGAGCCGGTCGGATTTCTCGCTCATCCAGTTGTGTTTTTGTTGTGTGCCGCCACAGACTGTCCGGGCGCTGCACTTCCGCACTTCCAAGTTCCGCCCTTTGCGTTCCGTCAACATTACGTTATAAATTAAATATTTAGAAAATCGATTTTTGACATTTGTGAATCGATTCAGAATCGTTCACGTCCGCATCGCGATGCATCTAAGAATCGATTTTTTCCCGCACCCCTATTTTCTAGTGTTGTAGTCAAGAGTGCTAAAGGCGAGTCAGAGTTAAGACCAAGACCTGAACACATCAAGTCAGAGTCAAGACCAAGCAAGGACTGGCTCAAGACAAGACAAGACAGAGACTAGATTAAGACTTTTTTTTAACATAAAAATAAAAAGGGGTGAAAAATAAATAGTAAATTGTGAATTCAGCATCACTCATTAAACATCATATATATTAAAGTATTATAGATTTTATGATATATTTGGTCAAATATAAAACTCAGTAATACATAGTCTAAAAATATTACTAATTATTACATTGTAATCTCACTCCAGCTTTGCATAATAACAACTTTTGAAAGAAAATGATGGTGAGGTTCTTCTCTGTCCCTTCTTCTCTAAAACATTTAAAAGTCAGCACTTTGTCAACTGAATATAAACCAAATATACACACATATTTTATTATTTTATAATAAATTAAAACATAATTAACTTCCCAGTTAAGGTATCATGGAAAGGACTGATTAGATTCTCAAGCAGCAGTGAATAGATTTTATTTAAACATGTAGAGCAAGGGGACCACAAGCCAGGTGGTCTTCTCCATAAAGGGCTGGTGTGTAGGGAAAAATGTAGGGAAAAGTGTCTTATATACACTCATTTAAGTGCATCTTAGTCAATGCTTGGCAAGTCTTATATCACAACAAACCACTACTACTACTACTGATGTTTGTAGTAGTATAAATATGAGCATTTAACAAATTAGCTGCAAATTAGCTTAAGCTAGATGCCCTATAAACATTACGTGTTGCATTCTATGTAACAATGTTTATCTGTACTGTCCCTGTCAAATAAACAAATAAAATTAAATTTCATTCTACCAGAGACAACTCCAATCAGGACAGAAATGTTTCAGCATGGTTTAAAGGTGATCAGTCAGAATAACTATGTATTCATTTGCAGTGACGAATCCCGCTAAGAGGACAAGTGACTCAAACCATGCCATTAAAATGCTCCCCAGCAAAACAGCTCCATCAGACTCCCTCACTGTAGGGATCAGGCCTGTACCGTTCTTGGCCTTGTTCGTTTATTTTAAATCTAAGCAACACCACAAATTTGATCAACTAAAAATCAGACATACCTTTCTTAAAAAGAGGAAAGTAGTAGAAACCTCATATTATTTCCTCAGTGTTTTCTAGTCAAACTTATTCCTGTCTTATTCCTTTCTATTCCTCACTGCTGACTGACTTGAAGAGGTCTGCTCACAGTCATCATCATCATGCATGCTGTACATTCCAGCTGATGATGTTTTTGCATGTATGTCAGCAAAGTATCAAATGAAACTTGAAACACATGAAACGTGCCTGTGATATGGTTAATAGACATGAAAGTGATAGTGAGGTTTATGTCTCTCGAGTATCATTCTTAGAAATTAAGATATGCTGATAGCATTGCTCGCTGATGTAATGGCACCATAAAACACAGGGTCATGTTCCTAGAAAGTGACAGAACGTCACGAAAAACAAACAGCATAGACAAGAATATCGCCGTTGTTGGAAGAAAATGAAACATGCAGCGTGAAGGATAGCTCCTGTGTTCTAATGATGTAGAAAAGTAAAAATCGCAAAAAATAGAGAATACATGTTGTTATTTTACAGCGAAGATCTGTTGTGTTTTGAATGCTGCTATGGTGGATAAGCAGCATGACTGTGTTGGGTGACCAGCCAAACCAGCTTAAACCAGTATAAACCAGCTCAGACCAGCAGGGCAGTCCTCAGAGTTTGAAGAAAGTTTTGGGTTTTAGATGCTTCAAAGTGCTAGTGATCCTTTCAGCTCAAAGACTGTACACAAACTTAATCTACTTTGTACTGCATAATGTCAATTATAAAAAAAAGATAAATCCTCAGTTACATGCTACGATTACAGTAGAGAAGTAAACAGCCTACTGTGAAACTTCACAGTTGAGGCCAACACATATATATATATATATATATATATATATATATATATATATATATATATACACCTTAGGCATTCACCTGTGACTGTATTTAAGAGCCAGTGCCTTTTTGCCCTTCATACCATGAGGAAATCCAAGCATCTTTGTGAAGACTCAATAAAAAGGTGGACCTCAACAAGTCTGGTTCCTGATGAGGAGCAATTTCCAAATAGGTAAAGGTAAAGAAAGATACAAACAAAAGCATGAGCTCCCTTTTGACTTGTTCTGCTTTGTTTCTTCCTGGATGTTTTTTTTTGGTGCTAGAAAATTGTCTAACCGGGTATAAATCATCTTGAAATCGCAAGAACTTGGCTACATCTAACATGTATTTATGAAATATATGCCCACACTTGGTACAATACAGAAATAACAAAAAACTCAAAAAACAAAGTTCAGGAGAAAAACGTATGCTACGGTGTTCCACGTCGAACGGGCTGATAAGGCTGATTTTTTATTTTTTGGGGGGTAACTTATCCATGCCCACTAATAAGTTACGCCAAGGGCTGGTTATACCACATTCAAAAGTCAAATTAACCAGTGCATCATGGAAGACACAAAACTGATGTTTAAAGGTCAAAGTAAATACTTACTTTTCCTATTTAGGGACTACATAAATAAGAGAAAAT